GTGTGTGTGTGTGTGTGTGTGTGTGTGTGTGTGTGTGCGCGCGCGCGCGCGCGCGTGCTCGCCCTTGTCTTCACTACAATTTACCTTTTTTAAAAAAAGAAAACATTTATGTATTTCCTGACGCAATTGAAAAATGGACCGCGTACCCAGACCCTCATAAATGCATCAAATGCGCTTCCTACTGGTTGTAGCGAGCTAGGCCTGTGCAGATAGAAAAAGACAAGAGAAAAAAAAATTCAACCTTTGAGTGTTAACCCTATCCGTACGTCGTGTTTTACTATCGTATCCATGCGACGTGGGGAACTCTGTGCCACCACTTTCCAAAGAGGACATTTAATCGTTAATCCGATCCGTACTCTTTGCATAGCAGTCAGTCTAAATGATTTTTTGAGAAATACTGAAAGTTTCGAAAAGATCTTCGCACTTGAAGTTGAAGTATTCTACAATGTGAAGAATACAACCCCTAGGGTACAAAATGACCCCAGGCGTACGGATAGGGTTAAAACTGTTCTGTCACAAGTCACAAGTGTCAATCTCGAAACATGGCGGAGAGGAGAGCGAATGAGATTAGGCTAGATCTCGGCACAATCAGCGACAGCGCTAAGTAGGCCTACTTCCGGTTGTCAGCCGGACTCGACTTCACAAGGGCACGAAGTTTGTTTGACTGAGTAAAAGTAAAGAAAAGCACATTGAGTCATTGACGCAATGGTGGTAATGTTGCTTAGTTTTAGTAGAGATTTTACGGCGCTCTGACTGTATAAGGTCATATGAGCGCCAAGGGGTGGATGTCAAGAGAGAAGTCCTTACACTTACAAGGAATCAGGCTTACTCTGCTCACCTCTCTAGTTCAACAGCACATAGTCTGCTTCGACTATCAAGGCATCAACGAAATAGCAGGTCACAAACATATAAAAGAAGTAGAATATCTAGATGTTTGATAAAAAAAAGAAGGAGCTAACCACACCAGCTTTTAGTTTTAGTATGAGTTTTGCGGCATTTGCAATACAACAAGGTCAAATAAGTGCAGAAGATTTGAGGAGTTACAATTACAAGAGAGTAACGAACACAAAAAAGGAGGGGAGATAGAGACGACAGATTTTTTTATGGGAAAAAAAGGAGCAAACCACACCAGAGCATCCGCCAATCACCCACTGGGCACCAGCTTATTACCCACATAAAATACAAAGAAAAGAAGGAGAAAGTGAAAGAGAGATAATGACGACAGATGTTTAACAGGAAAGAAGGAGCAAACCACAGCACACCCGCCATCCACACACAAAAACCATGAACCAACTCAATCAAATAAACCAACAACGACGACCCCTTGGACTTGCGAATGCTTTATTTATCATTGAATTCATCAAATGGTCCAGCAACACATTTTTTTTCTTTCCTAATGAACGACCAAAGCACAACAGGCCACAAACAGACGAGTGAGCAGACGGCTCTCTACATCAGCATGTCATCAACCTCTCAGCAAAACGTTACCCAACAACAAATGGAAAAAAAAAAGCTGGCGCAAAACAACGCAGCAGAAACGACTGAATTAACAACGGCTGGACAAGGGGGAGAAATAGGAAGAGCCAAGAGCTTTTGTGGAAGTTGACATAAATACTTTTACCAGATCACAATAAATATATGGGTAGATTTTCACAGTTAAAGTAAAGTATAGCCCCTCCCCAAATTTTGAATTGTTAGAGTAATTAGAAACTAGTGCGCAACATTTCGGGTTACGGTTATGCTTCCTAGGAAAAGGAAACAGTGTGCTGTGGTTGTCTTTATGTGTGAAGATGTAGGGGAACGGGGGCTAAACTTTACTTTTAACCGATTTTCCATCACGATTGTGAATGAGACATGGACACACAAATAGAGATGAGGAGACGTGGTAAGACTAGAAAAGGGCGTAACCACAAACCTCTTCAGAACTACATGTATTCAAAATGGTCAAGAAAAATTGAAGTCAACTTCAACGAGTATGAATGTCAAATCTAAATTTAAAAAGCCTCAATCAGTCTTATCTTCTGTTGCGCTTTTTTGTCAAAAGTTTTGGCGTATTTTACATTACACAAAGAAGTACATTGTACACATACATGATACTTAATTTCATACTTTTATGTATTTGAAGTAGAGAAAGATAAAATTTAAAAAAGAGGGGAGGAGAAGCAAGACAGAGATACTTGAGATAGACAGAACCAGACCAGAAAGAGAGATGGGAGAAGACTTAAACCTACCTGTGGAATAGGAAAGAGAAGAATATCGACACACAAGAATGGTAATTTAGTGCACGGAAAAAGTAAAACAGATAGACGGAAACAACTGAGAAGGAGAAAAAGGTAGGACCAATCAGTGACAGCCTCTGACCACCTGCATTGAGTGTACTACTAGCACTAGCACCGTCAACCAATCACTGGCGGAACAGAGAAAGTCACAATCATGGGATTCTTAATTCTTGTCGGTGCATGTGTGTGAACAACTAAGACTAGAGAGAAGGGTCATGGATTTGCGCATGTACGTATTAAATGTAGTGATATTTCCCGATCTATGTCTGAAAGAAGGCCGATGCAAAACAAAGGGAGACAGAAGCAGAAGAGTAGTTCATTGTTATCAGATTATAGTAGTAATGTTTTACGCCCCAAACAATACTTAACTGCTGATCTTATCTACGTACTGACAAAAATGTTTGCTCTGGTATCACTTGTCATGTTTGTTAGATCCTCCAAGTCACAGCCCCTCATCCCCTTCCCCTCTGACAAGAAAAGAGGTACAAACGCCGAGTCCGCTCTGAATTTCTTTCCTTTAAAACATCATATGTAACAAAGTTCAAATGTCATACAATTGAAAAAAATAAAATAAAACAAACAAAACAATAACGAATGACCCACCACAAATAATGCAAAATGTACATCCCACTACCCTTAGAAACAATGAGCAAAGATGAAATATAAGATACAGAACTATGACTGTAAAAATTAAAGACAAAATGGTGAACCATGCATCCAGTATCCTCAGCACAAGAAAAATGTAAAGACTTCACAAAAAGTTTAGCTTCGTAAGAGTTTTACTGTGCTCGCAACTGCATAAGAACTTCAAAAAGAAGAAGGGCAGAGTCATATTTTTTTTTTACCATTTTGACAAAAAAATCAAATTTAGTCTATTTTTTTATTTTATGCCCCAATCGACACAGTTTAAATAATTTAGAAGGCAGGATCTGACCCTACCTGTCATGGCCAACCCAGGCTGAGAGGGAAACAAGATCACAGCAGTAAGACCAAGATGCTCGATAAATAATTCTCCCCACTGGGGAATCAAACTCCTACATGTGACGGTCAGGCGCCTAATTGTGACAATCAAAGATGTTGGTTATTATTTTGAGTTGTGCCCAGAGGGTGAATTCATGATACCTCAATTTAAAACGACATCTGAAAGGGAGAAAACATTCACTGTCAGTGGAAAAGTATAGTGCAGAAAAGTCAATCCTTTGTAAGATACGAGGTTCCAAAATTTAAAACTTACGTTTCTCAAAAATCACCAAAATATGACAGCTGTTTTTTTCCCTTGCAGTCTTCAGGTACTTTCTTTTCAAAACAAACAGAATTTTACAAAGAGACCCTTCGCAACAGAACAAAGTAAGGAAAACCATCCCGGAACTCATAAGAACAGACTGAAACAGAAAATGTAATAGGCTGAAATACAGCGCCAGATAAATAGTACACTAAGAATTTGGGACATTTCAGAAACAATTGACACAAAACCATTCTTGCTTCTCAAGCAACAAACAGAAAGAGAAGAAAACCATTGGTTCACAAGTGAAATAATGACAAAGGAATTCGTTCCGCGTGGAATAAGTCTACACCAAAACGAATAAGACTAAAAGATCACAGCCTACATTCAGTTGGAAAGTCTGAAGACCATGATCGACACAGAAAACATTAAAAACTTTGCCCTGTATTCAGTTGACGCACAAGGCAGATCTCCATTCCAACCTTCATGGATGAAACGTGATACATAATGATCGTTTCTAAAAACCGAAATGATGACTATCTTACAGAATATTTTCTGGAAAAAATGGCAAAAAGTCATAAGCAGTCAACTAAACAGAAACTTATAAAGCATATAGTTCATCACTCAAGAAAATAAGAAAACTATGCACACTCGATCAGCTCAATAATCTTTAAAAATACAGAAAGAAAAAAATACAAAAGCTGTTTCAGTAAGACAACAGGAACATAATACATCTCTGTGTGCACAAAAATTTATAAATGTTAAAACAACATTAGTATTCAACAAAAGATTAAAAAGAAAACACCACAAACAGGGTGCTGTGGAAACAATACGTATGGAAATGATTCATGAAAGTGCTACCAGAAGACTTAGCTCCATTTCCATCCCGTACAGTAGCTTATGCTTTCCTCGTCATGAGAAAAGTGATACATCCCAGGAAAGTGAAATACAAATGGCATGTCCCATGGTGAAACATTCTAATCGTGTAACTGGACTCTTGAAAATTTTTCAACAGGCCAAAGAAAAAAAAAAAACCTTCAGTTAAAATGATAAAACAAGGCACAGAAGTTTGCCCACCGTATTTATATAATTATTCTATATATCTAGCACATGCTGGCTCCTGATTTTTATTGCGACCCACAAATTGATCTTGGAAATGATTTCATAACAAGGACCTTATTCTTCCAGTTGCATGATCAGAGCACAACATCATCCATATATTCTGTTTCCCCTGTCATAAGAAAAAAGTGGAATACCAATGGTTTATCTGACTTTAATGATAATTAATTAATAATAATAATAATAACAATAATAACATGAACAAGTCTATCAAATCGAGTCCAACACAGGTGTTCTTGCTGTAAACTGAAGACACTGACATTCTGCAATATTCTCAAGACAACATCTAACCAGAGGTTACAATACACACAATAGAGGGACTGGAGCAGATAGAAGAAAATGAAACAAGTTAAACTACTGAGAACTTCTAAACAGAATATAAAGATGTTGCACAAAGATATTGTGTATGTGCGTGTGTGTGTGACCACAACAAATGAGAGTACTAGCATACACAGTTTAAAAGCATGAGGTAAACGGTGATTTGATTTATCAGTACTGTTTTATTATTTCCCCATTTAAGCACTAATTCGAATGAAAAAAAAAAAAAATCTCCAACAAACCCCTGGTAAATTTAGCACAAGGTCAGCCTAAATGTGAACCTGAGCTAATAAAGACAGCCCTTAGTCGTTCCCTAAATAGGTGTAACTCTAATTTGGGCATTTAATGCTTGCAGACAATACTGTAAAGAACATAGCCGTGTTCACAGAAGTAGACAATGCTCATCCTAATGACAGCTTTCATGAGGATATATGAAAAATGATAATTAGAGAACTTTCAAGATATCTTTGGGCATAAATTATAATTCTACACAGCAGCAGCAGCAGCTAGCTTTGAGCTATGTCAGCAAAGTGCCAGGAAAGTTGTGGCAGCCGAGGAGGACAGGCAAAGGGGAGGGGAGGGGGATAGGGGAGAAGGGGGACATTTTGATGTTGACAATTTGACCAAACTGAGAAGCAGCAGAATAGTCTCAACATGCTTGTCTCCAACAACAGGTGTAGATGGCAGCTCCGAGTGTTGGGCTATCCAGGGACATCATTTGTCCTTTTGAGATTCCTCTTTGGCTGACACCTCAGCGTGGTCTTCATAGCTGGAAGTGCAGACAGACAAAAAAAAAAAGGTCAAACAAATGTCCATTTCATCACACAGACTTTTAGTTTCAGTAGTTTCAGTAAGAGTTTTATGGCATTTGTGACACAAATAGGTCAGGATATGGGTCAGAGATTAGAGGTGTTATATTAGAAAAAAACATACAAAGAAAAGAAGGAGGAGATGTAACGACGATAGATGTTTGATAGGAAAGAAAGAGCAAACCACACCAGAGCACTCGCCGACCACCCGCGTCAACAGATGTTGGATCATCACACAGACAGCAATGACAATATAATGTCTAACAAAATGAAAATAAAAGAGTCGCTTGTCACACTCAGCTGTTCAGAGACATCAATCAGACAAACTGTGTTGCCTTAAACTGTGTTTCTGACTTCTCAACTTCAAGTGACTATAACATTTGAATTTAAAAAACAGCTTGACAAAAATTGTTTTTGCTCATGCTTAGTGCTAGAGCATCCCATTCACTATCAACACAAGTATTTGATCTCGCTGACATGAATGATTCATGTGACTGCAAGGTGAGATCAGTTGAACAATAAGTCAAATGCTTTGAAAAGCCACTGTACTCTAATGGAAGAAGCCAGGAAACTCACTTGAACATTGCTTTGATGTCTCCTTTGATTAGCGCTACAAACGTGGGAAGTCCGAGGCAGGCAGGTACTAGGTACAACAAAGCAGGCTGAAAACAGAGACAATACCATTGGTAAAACTGGATCCACACACACATGGCAGATTCTGCTAGGCCTTAATGTTCCTTTTTTTTCCAGAAGAGTTTTATTTTCTACAAATATTCATATCACTGAACAAGAGGGAAAATTCTAGTGTTAATTGGTTGGACAAAAAATAAGACAGCAGAACTATTTGATTTCAACTGCTAGTCAACTATTTCGAGCCCCACTGTAAAGAAAAGATCTGCCACACGTTAGACTTTTGACTGACAAGAGACTGATCCCATATAAAACACCTGTCAATGTAATCAACAAAACCAAATAACCAAAAAATGTACGCCTTTGCTTTAAAGGCAGGACCCCCCCCCCCCTTCCCTTATTATCAGCACATAAAATTCAGGTTAACATGAAGGACAAAGCACCCCCCCCCCCCCCCCCCATTCATTTCTTAGTTTTAGTAAGAGTTTTACGTCACCTCCAACACAAATATATTGGTAATCTCGGAGCTGAAGGTTAGAGGTGTTAAAATAGAGTAAAATGAAAGAGGAGAAAGAGAAACATGATAGATGTTTGATAAGAAAGAAAGAATAAACCACATCAGAGCACCATTTTCTTTTGACAAAATACAAAAAAATAACTGAGCATGAAGAACACAGGAACCCCCTCCTAATGTCAAACTTAAATTCAATCTTTGACCCCATAAACATCCATAGTGCCTCAACAAGAGAGACATAGCCACAAAGCTGACTTCGGACAGCTAAACCCAGCAGGCGTGTATGGAAGATTCTAGAGCAACAAACCTGCGCGTGTTTGAAGAAGTGCATGATGAATATTGTGGTGCCCAGACCCAGACAGTAGGCCACAAACCCTGCGTAGAAGTACAGTTTGCTTTGTCTTTTTAAGCTGAAAAAGGACAAAGAATAGGACCATGAGAGAAAATAATGTAATGGTTACACACACACACAAATATAACCCCCCTCTTTACAAAACAAGTCTACTAATACGGGGTGCCCACTACGGCTGGATCGGGTCAATCGCCCGACTCGATCGCCTGAAACTGAAAACAAACACGTTTGTTTTTGAGGAGGCAGAGTGCCAATCGGCCGATTCCATCCGTAGTGGGCACCCCATATAAGATCCAAAAAATGCTGATTCAGTAAAGGCTATCCCGACTGTTACAAATTTTTTAAAATACTATTACAACAGGGAATGTCAATTTTATTAAAAGATTATAGAAAGGAGTGTTCAAATGTCAGTCTTGATACATGTGTGTGTGTGTGTGTGTGTGTGTGTGTGTGTGTGTGTGTGTTTACATGCGTGTGTGTGAGAGTGTGTAAATGAAAACATCTTCTTTCAAAATCTGCCATTTAAGACACTGAAAGAAGAAAACGGCAGAAAAAAACCCCCAACCCAACGTCAATGCAACTAACCACACACTACCTGAAAACCATTCTTGTTTTAGTGCGTGTGAAGTGAAGTGTGCATTGGCTCACCTGAGGTCAAATCGGAGTAGCAGAGCAATGAAGATCCCTGGGATGACAATGTCGCCCAGACCCAGCATGGCGAAGTTGTCAGCTGACAGACCATGTTCTAGAAGGTCCTGGGGGAACACCACTGGAAGAAAAAAAAATCAACACAGAATAATACACTTTATATAAATTTTCCGTTGTTTTGCTGTTAAACTCTGCAACAGATAAAGTCTTGCTACATGATTAATAAGGACAATACCTCTGGAATTCCGGTCTGTTTGTTTGAGTAAAAAGAAGCACATCGACACAATAATGGTCATTTAGATCTAGGGCTGGGAAAAGGTAAAACAGAGAGACAGTCAGAAACAATAGAGGGAAAGTAAAGAAGTAGGACCTACCGGTGGTGCCCTCCAACCCCCCGCCCTCTGGAATGCTATTACAGCGACAAGAATTAATAGGGAACAGAAAACGCCACTAAAAGAATGCTCTCTGAATTGAATTACCCTCTAAATGCACTTACATTTGATGGGAGCTTCGAATGACTTAGCGACTGTCACCATTACATTGGTCCCAAATACCTGTAAAAGAAACAAAATGTAGAAATGTTAAAAAAGAATCATCACAACTGCAGCCACATTTGGCAAGAAAGACAAAAGACTGATTGATTATGTTTTCTGCTTTTTTTACTGGACAGCCAGCGTGTCCAGGTTTTAAACACTAACATAGCATATATTTTTTTCTAGTTGTGGTCAGACTGAATAGAAGCGCTGTATTTTTTTTCTGCCAGTTGTAGCTTAATGGAACACAAAAGTAGTATTTTTTTCTACCAGTTGTGGCCTGGTTGAACACTAAAGTAGTATTTTTTTCTACCAGTTGTGGCCTGGTTGAACATTAAAGCAGTATTTTTTTCTGCCACTTGTGTTGTGGTCCAGTTGAAAACTTATGAGTAGCAATTTTTCGACTCGGGTTGAGTTAGAAACCAGTGCATAATAGTAGTAGGTACTAGTCAATACCAACCAATATCAATTACTTTATCAATGAAGAAAACCCAGTCAACAAAAATTGTTTAATGTAAGCTATTATGCATAATTTACTCAAAAGAACATTTTCAGTTGGCTTTTTTTTCCCCGAGCCTTGATACTTTGTACGCAACAGAAGAGACAACAGAAACACATTAGACATAAATGCAATGAGCTTCAGACAGCAAAATAGACTTTCTTAACATTACAAAATTGTAATATCAATAAGTACTAAGCGACGAAAATACTTAGGTATTTAGGAAGGGAATCACCCTTAACAAGTACTGATATCAATTAGGGCCCACCACTAATACTAACCCAGAAGATGTCGTAGACGAAGAGTCCCCCGAGTAGAATGCAGCCAGTGCTGACTCTGTTGAGGGAGAGCAGCTCCACGCCATTGATGGAGAATGCCAGACCAAACAGGTTGTTGGCAATCCAGTGCTGCAAAGACATGAAGGAAAGTTTTCCAAAGTTACATTCCATGATCTTTAATGGCACAAGGTTTATAAGCAATAATCATTTGAGCTTAATAAACAATGAACATAGATTTTGTTTTTTTAAGACCATTTTGGGGAATTGATATCCTTTCTTTTAGAGGGTAGAAGGAATATAAGGCATTTAAATTCTTTAATTCATACTGTGACTTTACCCTATTAACTATAATCACCCCCCCCCCCAAAAAAAAGTGTAAAAACTTCAACAAGCTCAAAACTCATACGACCTCATACACAGTCGCGAGTGCGAGCACCGTAAAACTTACCAAACTCAAAGAAAAAAACTTCAATGTTATTTCAGTGCTCTTTAATCAACAGGAAGTTCATAAGCACTATTCATTTGAGCTTAAAACAAAGAACATAAATTGAATATTTGAAAATTCAGAACTTGGAAAAAAACAAACATGACCAACAAGCAAAAACAAGGGAAGGATAGTAGAAAAGTAGGAAAAATCAATAACACCTGCCATCCACATAAACACAAGCACCAACAAAGAAATGTCGTCTACTCTGGACATTGCTGCCTTTTTCATAGAATCTGCAAAACTCAATTTTTCTCTGTCAAGAAACCCAAGTTACTACAACGGGAAACACAATCACATTTTCCATAAATCTACGATGTTTACTCACCTTCTTCCATAGATACCAGACTCCAATAACTCCACACACGAGTAAGCTCACCATATCTCTGCGGTCAAACTCGTAGTTGACTAGATCTGAGAATCAAACCAAGATTTCACTGAAAATGACACCTTAAATACTATTATTTAAGAAATCAGATTTTTTTAATGATCATTTTTCATCTAAATAATACCAAGCACACAAATTGCAAAGAATTCTAATAAGAAGAATTCGTCACCCTCAGGTAAGACAGGTTCACTCCAAAAACATCTTTAAAATTATGTTTGACAAATCACTGATAAATTTTATCAATTTCGTAGACTCAGTCAAAGACAGGTCTGAATGCTCCTAAAACATTATAAATGAAGCCAATCAACCCCCCAGTCTTCAGACTGCTGTGATGAAACAAAATGATAATTTTGCTTCTGAAAAATCTATTCCACTGGGGTTAGCCAGTCTTATCAGAAGGTCGATGAATTGCTAGTTTCGCCACTGTACAAGCTGGACTGGTTAAGCAGGAACATGAAAAATCAAACTGAAGTTAAACAGTACTTTAAACAAGCCTTTCTTTTCAAAACCTGATCAGGAACACTCAATGTTATGGAGTAATTTAAATATCAATACTCGATAATATGATTACAATTACTAATAATACACAATTTTGCAACTTTTACACCTGTATCAAGCACAAGAAAAAAATTATTAAAAAACAGGAGTACACTCATTATATCTCCCACATTAATAATCATTAATAATAATTATTACATAAATAAGTGTATGACACATTTTCAGCCAGTTGTCTTAAACAACAGTAACAACATTTGAAACAATTTGGTTGTCATGAGGCCACACACACCTTCTTTTTTTTCTCCTTTCCCCTGAGTAAGTAACAAGTGATAATCTTGATTTGGGAAAGCACCAGCCAGCAACTTGCTGATGAAGGGACTGTAACAAAAGCAAAAAAATAAAGAATTACAATTTACACAAAATAATAACAGATCATAATGAATTAGAATAAGAACAGACAATATTGCACATGAAAAAAATCCTCATTCCCAACTGAGCTGCTTGCCACAAGATTAGCAACATCAATCCTGTTAATTCTTATCTTGTCAAGTACCCACCAATGTACACTATCACATTAGTTCAATCAACGATAACCATACACGAGGATGTCTTTTTCATGTCGGCCAGTGGCATAACTGGTCACTTTTAAGTACAAGGGGGCTATCCCAAAAAATGCTGTTTTGAGAAAATTGAAGATAAAGTTTTTGCCCCTTGTTCAGTTTCTTTAAAATAAAAGGAGAGTTTTCTCTATAACCGAACAAATATACACACCAATGAAACCAAACTTCTCCTTTAGGTAGCCCACTTTTGGTGTAGGTCAAGATTTCTGGAAACCCCCAAAATCTGGGTTAACCCACTAGTCCTTAAAAAAGCGACTAACCGAACGTTCTGTACAAAGGCATGAACAACAAAAACCCATAAACAGAGACAGAAGGCATCTGGATAGAGTTTCTTTCAAATAACATTTTTATCTTAGACTTTACGGAAATAATTGCTTACAAAAACTCACCCAGCAATATGTGTGAGAGCCAAAACCCCAAGGAAGAAGAAATATGCTGTAAGCAGGAGGTTGATGTGTTCTTTAGAAAATATCTGGGGGGAAAAAGGGACAGTAATCAATACAGAAATGTGCCAAGCAAGAAAAACAAAATGAAAACTACAGAACTATCAAGTCAGAGAGAACATAATTTTAAAAACTCAAATTGTTTTAAAATACATAATACTCATTGCAAAAAAATATTAAAAATAGGGAAATTATTGGGGGGGGGACAACAAAATAAAGACAAATGGCAATGAAGATGAAAACCTTAAAAATTAGAATACACTTCCCTCAATCAAAAGAAAAAGACAAAGGGCACTCTCACAAGATTTGTTTACCAAAAAACAACCACTAAAAGATTCTAACCTTTACATTTGTACAACAAATTGCAGTGCTATTTACCTGAAAAACAAGATAGATCCCAAATAGAGCACAGCTTGCAATGAGAGGGAACATCGCCGCATCCTTATGGGACATTGTGTCTGGCTTCTCTCCTGAGTCCTGATGGGAGGGGAGGGAAGTAAAATAAAAATTAAAAGGTAACAAAGTGAAGACGAACCAACCATGTTTTTTTGTGCATCATGATGACCACAGTCAACTGTTTCTTGTTCCTGTACGATATAACTGCAATCAAACACGTCACAATAGATCTCCGCACAATCAAGCACATTTGAAACAGGATAGGCGGGGGGGAGTTAGTTTTTTTTTAAAATAATACTGAACAAATTGCTGTTAAATCCAGTTTTAATTATGCAACCTTACTGGCTTACTATCTAAATTGACCACTAAACTTTTAACTCTATGCCAAATCAAGTTTCCCAGTGATAGCATTAAATATAAAGCTTCTAAAACTAGATTATCAATAACAAAATGTTGCTGACACAATTATTGGGTTTTTTTCAAGAAAAATTTTATGGTAGCAGTCGATGAAGTGGGGGTTTGATGGGAAATTTATACTGCGACACAGCACAATCATTTGGCTGGCTACTGAGGTCTGTGTCTAAGAAAATGGTCATCAGGAAACAAAGGCAGACAGCAAAGGGACCACGCAGCTCCTACTGAAGCTTCTCCTATTAATGAGTTACCTGGTTACCTCCATTGTTCATCTGTAGGACATGATCTTCTGTACGAGACCTTCAAGTAAGTCAGGGGCAAGATGGAACATTGTAAAACATCGTTTTAAATAATATTCTGACCATGTTAGGGAGACAAAACAGAAAACCACCTTGTGATTCACCCACTCCAATAGAGCTCACGTACAAGCCTTTACGTTCTGTAATAGTGCACATCGTAGATTTTGATGTCCATTAGTGACGCTACCCACTTTTTCCACCCCATTTCTTTTTCCATTATGAAATCACGGGATGTGACCACGTAACAACTGGCACAAACCTTTGCATCTTCTGTCTGTATCTAGACAAGGGGTTGGCGCATTTGAAAGTTGGTAGTACTCTATGTGAAACAAGATCAAGAAGTAAAGAAGGTTGGATAGGGCAGGAAGAAGGGTAAGTGATAGTACTTCCACATAGCTTTGCTCATTCTTTAAGGGGAGACGTACTCTCCTGTAAAAATTTTCTAAACGAATGACTTTTATTTATTTTCATGTAATTGTGCAAGAAGTTCATAGGAAAATAGGATGTACTACGGGTGAATTTGTCGATTTTTTCTGAAAAATGGGTCTCTGTGGCTGCCATCTTGAATTTTCAAACCAGTTATTTAGTGCAGAAAAATTTCATAGTAAATATTGAAACATCAGCCTGAAATTTGGCTCACAAGTACAAACCTATATGAACTGTGGATCTATGTGAAGATTTTGACTTAATCTTTAAAAATAAAAGAGTGAACCCAGAGTCAATGGGCCCCTGAGAGTCATTTGACGAAATTTTGGGTACATATTACAAAAAATTTGAATATTTCCACAAGTTACCAATATTTCCCAATTCCCTCACATAGATCCTCAGAATAGATCTTAAAGCACATATACGCCAAATTTGAAGCTTCTAGCTTAATATATAAAAGCAGTTTTTGAAAACTCCTTCCACCAAGAAGGTCACCTATGTCAAAAAGTAGATTTTGAGAAAAACAGAAAAGGGATTTTTAAAATGATTTTTTGTGCAATTTGCACTTTTCTTCAAACACTCTTTTAGGTCATTTAGGGCGTATTCTCAACAGTATCGTCATTGTGACCCGATAGAACAGATGTCAAAGGATGTTTTTCCGCAAAAAACAAAAGTTGGATGGTGTGAAAAATTGTATCGATATTGTCTGGGATCGCCGACCTAGGTCTTCCCTTACCTTTAACCCCTCATTTAGTTAATTCAACTTTATACAATTGCCAATCCATTTTGCATTTGAGAAAAGCAAGATGCTTTAATTTATAAATAAAATTAAAATGTTTCATGAAATCTTCCCTCTCAGCTCTCAAGTGACAAATATAATGTTTTCAGTTTTAATTTCAGTGAGAATCGATGTTTTATCAGTAGATCTAGCAAAGGCTACAAAATGAGCAGTAAAATTTCACTTGTTTCTAACAAGGCAAGGGAGGTAACAAGGGGGGGTGGGGGTGTTCAGGGGGCATGCCCCCCATGAATTTGACCATAATTTGATGTTTTATGCAATTAGGTTTGATATGCCTCTCCATACCGGCATGCGCATCAAGAAGTAATCGCTTAGAACCAGAAGTAATCATCCGTGGGGTCAAAACTAGTATCCTCAAACGGGACCCACATTCTTAAGTAGTAACGAATAGTGGACCACGTGATTAGATTGACCAATTAGCATCAAGGTATCAGGTCGTGTGTCAAAAGGCATGGTCGTGACGACTGAAAACCCCTGTAAGAGACGTCAGTCGGTAGTTTACAGTCGAAGGGTGAGGACATAGGAAAGTGAGTAGGGGAGCTCGGCGCTCTTTGGAAATTGCCTTCCCGTTCCATTGGCAGCCATTTTGAAACTGATAATTTGCCATGTAAACGTGAAGATTGAGGAAGGGGGGAGGGGGTAGGTTATATAGCTAAAAAATATTTTTTATACAAACAAAAAGGCAGGTAAATATTACTGGGGCTAGGAAGTGGCTATCCTCATCCGGGGTGAGAACAAAAATACGATCAACCTCTCACCCCGCTTGAGACTTGCCAGTGTTTTCTATTCTCACCCGGCGTGAAACAAGACGAGTGTTTCCTAATTTCGGAATACTGTCTATCGGTGTGGATAATCAAATTTAACAAAAGCAAAGAAAAAATGACGGGAGGACTTCCATAATGAGCGACCACTATGAGACAGAGTAGAACAGATGGGTATGTGATAGGAGTAGGGGCCGGGTTTGAGGTAGGGTTAGGGGTAAGGTTTAAGTTTATAAAGGTTTGGGGTAGAGTGAGGGTTTAGGGTAGGGTTAAGTCTCCTCTTTATTCATAATATGTTTGTAGGGGCGGTCGCTCGTTACAGAAGTCCTTCCAAAATGACATTATAATTTGGTTGTCTACAAAAATGCTACGGCTATTTCACCTTTCGAATCCAGCCGAACTATGCGGGTCGCCATTTTGTTTTGCCCGGAAGTTCTTGCAAGATCTACTCCTCCTCTCTGTCTCTTTCTGAATAGGCCTACTGTCTATATCTATCGGTGTGGACGATCAAAATGATAATTTTAAAAAGATAAAAAATGATGTTAAAACACAAAAGTAAATTAATTTGGTCGTCTACAAAGATGCTACGGCTATTTAACTTTTCGAATGGAGTCGAACGACACGGGTCGCCATTTTGTTTTGCCTGGAAGTTCTCGCACTACTCCTCTCTCCCCCCCCCTCTTTCTCTCTCACTGCCCACAGACAAAATTGCACACTTTAAACAGAAGAGCGCTGGAACGTTTGTTCAGGGTGAACCACAGAATTCTAAACTTAGTAGTAGTAGAAATCTGTGCAGTGAACGGTAACTAGATCTAGATTTAGATCTTGGCTTTGGCTATCACGGTGAACCCACAATTTAAGACTCGCCTACACTATTCTCATCTGGGGTGAGAATAGATAGCAATGCCAATGAAAATTTAAATTTTCACTTTTGCCCTTTTGGTACCTAAGAAAGAATTTTCAATTCTAAGAATTATAAATGCTTCTTGAATTTTGAGAATCAGTTCATAAATAAAAAAGTTATGGGGTTGTAAAGGTCGGCCAAATATGGATGACCCACATATATAGGAAAATACTCCTAAAAAGTGGACCATGCTGTAGCAGATTCTGTAAGAAAATCGACGATATCTCGGTAACTAATCGGAGTGTTTGAGAGAAACTTGGCTACCCGATGTGTTTTTGAGTGTAGAAATCATTTCTGCAGTCAGATTTACTACCAATTTCGTAGTTATTTTGTTATAATTAAAATTGTGGTGTACATATTACGATTTTGCGAAAAAGGGGTGTCGGGATGAGTCCATTTTATTTATAGCATCGTATCACAACATGGGATCTTTAAGAATATATGTGGGCAGCGTGACTAAATAATTGCAAAGCTTTTTATGATGACTTTAGACCATGCCAACCGTAAAAGATAAGTTAATTCAATCTAGCATGCTGTACAATTAAAAATTATTTTTCCCCGTTGAGACGCGAACACCCCTAGACGAGAAAACCTCGCCTCGGAATACCCCCATTGCGATGTTACAGGGGAATAGAGAGAAAAACAACCGGATGCGCGCGCCCGCCATTGCCCTATTTCAAGTGACCAATGAACGGGCCCGGAATAGTCATGCGGGGATTTGTAGGTCACATACATTTGCCACAAGAGTGAGGGGAAAATGGCCGGTCTCCGTGCGAAGCCGCTTTGGATAGGGGGGTAGTCGTGCATTTATGATCGGGTTTAAACAACTACTTGACACAGAACGTTCAAATTTGAGCACACTATAGAGGATAGATAGATCTATTACCATCTCGGCGTTGAAATTCAAACTCCTTATAGCTTTCGGTGTACACGATACGAAAGTGTTCCCGACACCAAAAGTATAGGTTAATTTATGTAGCAATGCCAATCGCCCGCTGCGCCTTGTGCCGGAAATCGGCCTCCGCGCGAGGGGTATTTTTTGGGCTGCTCGGAATCAGAAGTGACTCTCTTCTAAGTTTAGTTACGGGAAAACTCCTGGACGAAAATAAATGAAACTCGGCAACCAACCAGAGGAAAGGTTAAACTAACGACATGCCAGCGTACAATCCCGAACGATTACTAGAACCGGAGATATTGCCGTGTTTGTGAGAATTTCCTCTGCGGTTCGAAAACTAAGCGGAGCTGCGGGTTGATCGCCGACCACACAAGCGCCCCACATGTCTTCTTTATTGCTGTAAAATTTCAGATCTCTGCGTTTAGTAGATTTTCCGTACCAACTTAAAATTACCACCCACCCATTGATAAAACACTAGATCTAGAAACTTAATCGCGCATTCCAAACGCGAGGTGCCGGCATGCAAGAGGCGCGTGATCGCTAGGCGGCATGTGATTGGCAGCCTATAACCAAATGGGTCACCGATGACTACATCGCGGGTTTTCCCGATAGCGCTTTACTGAGTTTTAGAAGGGGTGATCGCGTCACGGTAAAAACGATGTCACGCAATTCAACAAATTTCACGCAAATATCAGTCTTTAAGATCCAAAGTAATGAAGACAACGAAAAAGTAATAGCAGAACTAGATTTGGCACTAAAAATCACATGGAGATGTCAAGTTTCATTCATATGCTCCAATTCATTACTGACTTATGAACAGTTTTTCCTCAAAATACATCAAAACATGTCCCACATTTTGGCGATTTTTTCCTATATATGAAGGTCCTCCAACATTTTGCAAACAAAAATCCCAATAACTTTTTTATTTATCAATGGATTTTTAAAATTTAAAAACCACAGTTCTTAGAATTTACTCTAGTTTCATTTAAGCCCATTTTTAAGCAATTTGGATGAAAATTTAATTTTTCATTGTCATTGCTAATTTATGTGTACGAACTTCAACGTCAACATATCATTAGTTTGCCCTATTTTCTGATTGGTTGCCGAGTTTCATTCGGATTGGTTCGGAAATAGAGCAGACCGAGGTTGACAAAGTTAGTCACCTACGCTTCGGCCGGGTCCGCAAAATCGCCCGTAAACGGGGACCAAATTTTCAACTCGCGGGAAAGCCCGATTGGCATTGCTAGAAGAATAGAGAGGTGGTAAGGTTCATTTAGCCTACATGGCCACTTTTGTCCTTAGCAATCACTTCTTTATTATGTCAACAATCGGGAAAGGAACTTCCAAAGAGCCCTGGGGAGTTCTGACAGCCTGACTGAAGAAGAATAGCGGACAACCAGTCCAGGCATCAGGCTGCCAGTCAGGCCCAGGGGCACCATAGTGACAGTAGTTCGGACAAGCGGTTACCGGTGGTAGGCTACAATCTTACCACCTTTTTCTTGAATATTAAACATGGGCCTGTCTTAGATTTATCTAGATCTAGAGTCTAAACTAGATCTACTGCTAACTGAACTCGGGCCAGGACCGGTGCCAGTTGGTTGTTGGTTGGGAAATCCGAAAGCGGATGATTCGTACCTTCTGTTCCTTATGGTATGTGACGGAACGGAATGATCCAATAAATATGGGCAGTACAGCCATCAGGAACAAACTTCCGTAGGCAATGGCCATCCCCTCAGGAGTTGCTGGAATTTTGCCGGTTCCATTACCAGCTGTTGCATTTTCAGTATCGTTCAACACAGATTGTTCAGGCACGGTCTCCGCCATGTTGATTATGTGTGCTGTCGTAGCATGAAAGTTGACCAAAATCAAACCACTACAATATTTTCAGAGAAAGAAAAAAAATATTGTGTCTAATACTCATTAAGTAAAGTATTTTTATTCATTAAAAAAACTAATTATATCTATTTTTAGAAAATATGTTCAAGTTTCTGACCATTTATTTATTTTTTTTAAATTTGACTTGAAGCTAATAATGTTTGTCCTGTCAAAGTACTCCTGATATGAACTTTTACAATTGACAGGAAGTAAGAAAACGAAATCGAAAGTAAGGATATCCGGTTAGTCAATCCACTAATCCACCTTCAGTTCGAGTTATCATTGGTGCAACATTTTCGAGTAGGCTAAATCAATCTATGACGAAGACCCTTAAAATAAAGTTAAAATATTACAAAGTAGTGATAGTATGAGTTTATCACCGTGGGCTGTGACTACGGTTCGCTATTCTTGTTCATGTCTGAGTGCATTACGTCCTGTTCGGTTATTACCCTGTGAGATTCAGGAATCGAAAAATAAACTTCTAAGTAAAAGTAAAAGTTGGCTCTCACTTCACCAAACTTTCCTATACAGTGTTCTCAATCACCGTCACACTCACAGTCTCCACTCTCAGAATTGCGGTGCTCAAACAACCTGGAGTAGCAATGGAATAACACTTCATGTGAAAAGTGACTTTGTAGTTTCAGGAAGCTCGGAAAACTTTTACGGCTTGAACTTGAACCATTCTAAAAATTCAAAAGTTAAACTTGGTTTATTTGGCCTTGGCTTTGATGGCAATAGAAGCAAACGACAGTTTCACACTGACTCCAACAGTAAAGGCTCAAAAGTAGATGCAGTAAAAGGCAAAACATTGTGGCGCAGAATGGCAGCAGCCAATGTTTACGGTAGAGAATCAAAGGACAGAAACAGTCCTGCTCAAATTCAAATATATGATTATTTGCTGATTCTTGACTTTGAGGCTACCTGTGATAACAAACATCAACCCAGGCCGCAGGTCAGTGCCATAAATATTTATGTATTTGTAAATATTATTATTGGGGAGCTCTCGTGGTCTACTAATGGTAAGGTGTACGCCTTTCATTCAAGGTCCTAGGTTCAAAATCTTACAGCGACGGAAAGTTTTCTTCTAAAAATTATGTGATCTTTTCACCTGCTCTCCAACCCTGTTTTGTTGTCTGCTTTCATTTCCACTTTCTGCCCTCTCCCCTGCCCCCTCCTCGGGGCCAGTGACTTTTACTGCAGTCTTGATACTACTGCTACTCCTTGGCTTCTTCTTACTGCCTTTCAGCCACACCCAAATTTCAAAATTAGTTCCCACCAAACTGACAATGCTTAATGTGTCCCATGCGCTCATACGACCTGCCTAGTGCAGTTGTGACCACTGTAAAACACTTAACAAAGAAAATTAAAAAATAAAAATGCATAGAGATATTATAACTGGAGAGAGACAGTCGAACCTGCCTTAACAGAAACCGTTCCGAAACCTGTGTAAAACGAAAACCTGTCTTAACGGAATCTCCCCGCTCCCCCCTTGATATATTCTTCTTTAATTACCTCTGTGTAAACTGGAAACCTGTCCAACGCGGAATCGGAAAGAAAAATCCGCTCCCTTCCGAGGGTTTCACCTGTCTAAAACGGAAAATGCTTTGCCTGATCAGCCCTGATTTGAAACAAAACTCGCAAGTTTGGTTCCGCCGACTTTAACGCTATGACCATGCCGCTGGGCGAGGAAGGGCAGTAGGGGTGCAGCAATTTGGGGGTAGATGTTACTCCATCATGAGCTCTGGGCGATGCCGATGGTCAGTGTAGTGTGGGTGTGAAATCTCACGACTGCCCGTGAGAGTGTTCGAGCAAAGAGCCACCACGGAAACTTTCTTGGGTAGCCAGAAGCCAGAGGTGTGAAATTAGATTGACCAATACCTGCCGCCCTGATCGTACAGCCGGCCGACAAAAGAGTTCCTCGAATTGTTGTTACAATGATGGCAGTGAGGGGTGGCACTGGTGGGTGGGGCTAAGTATGGAAGCAAAGGAGATGTTCAAACGTTTCTGTTTTTTAATAGGTCAAACAGTGGTCCTATGAAAGGCAAGCACTGGTGGTAATTGGATAAGTAAGACTGACGCATGATATCATTATCAGACAGGATAGCAATTGAGAGGTGTGAAGTTTTTGCCACTACTTGCCGATTGGACAAGCGATCCTTGATCCCACCGGCTGGGCCTTTGACCCCCCCACCCCCACCCCCTCAAACTTCCATCTCCCCCTAAATTCCCCTGTCTAAGGCGGAAAATGTCTAAGACAGAAATTTTTTTTTGCTCCCTTGCGATTCCGACTTACACAGGTTCGACTGTATTATAATATAGATTATGTTTTATGTTTGTTTGTGTGTGTGTATACAGTGGAGTCCAGTTAAACCGAAATTTGCAGAACTACTAGATTTTCTTTAGATTAGCCGTGTCTTTGGTTTACAAGGTTTGCTCAAGTGTAAACAAAAAATTGGACATTTTGTTTCTTTCGGTTTACAGCTGTTTTCAGATTAACCGTGTTTGGTTTAAATAGAAACCATCTCTTACCTGCTCTAGCTACCACCTGCCCAAGACAGTCTGAGCACCTGTTCATATAGTCTTTTCACCCCCTTGCATTTTTCTTTTTTATGACCATCCAAGAGAACCACATTGTGGGCAGTATTGCATACAGGTGCATCTCAAAGGCAGCCAAAAATGGCTTACATCTGTATGCAATACTGCCTGCGACATTATGTCCATGATGACCACTTTTCTCCTTGTCAATGGATGGTTGTCTTGGATGTTCAACCATATAAAGGATCATTATCTTTGAAATTTGCGACCCCCCTCTTGAGCTCCCTTTGAAATTTCAGTTAACAGCAACATCCACTGAATAGTAGCTAATGCCTGCTTCCCAAGGGAGTTGCTGTTAGGCAGAGACAAACATGAATAAGAGATCATTTATAAATAAAAAGGGTTTTCCTTTCCAAAGATGATTTGCATCAGATTTTTGGTCAGATCTTATATAAGTAGATTTGTATTTTTGAATGTATTCCTCATGTTTCCTATCATATAATATCTGATTTTTATAATATGTGAGGCATCGTGATGAAATCAGGCGCTCGTCAATATAATGTAAGTCAAGAAACAGGCATTTTTCAGCAGATTTGGGAATTTTTATCGAATTTTCTTCTTTTTTTTTGGCTTAACACCCTTCATGCCTTTTAAAGAACGCATTCATTTCTATGTGGATTTTACTGAAAAACGTTGATTAAAGGCATAAAAGATGTAAATTTTTAGTTTCCACGGACTCTCAAGCTGATGAAATAACTCAACGTTGGCGCCATTTTCTCGCTAATTTTACTTCTGAATCCAGGCGACCCCCACCTCCTTCAATCGCCAATATCTCGACTTGTGTCCAAGATAAATGGATTTTTTTTCATCAAAAGCAAGGCACATGAACAGGCTTTAAGATGATACCAATATCTCCATAACCTGCAAAATTGACGAGCGCCTGATTACACCGCGTCGTGACACATGATTTGCAATACACAATATAATTCAACTTCATTTTTCTAGGAAGTTATTGAGTTTCCAGTTCTCAAGCTGAATACGAAAACCTTGCAAGTGGAGTCAACTTTTCACCAGTATGTCCTTCCTCAGTATCACCCGCAGCTGACGTCATTTTGTACAGAGGTCAGTAGTTGCCATCATTAGTGAATTGAATTTTAATGTTGAAGGAGAATTTAAAGTTGTCAGCTAGTTCTTTGTATCATATGATATATATAGTGTCAGGCACAAATGGGCCAGCTAGGAAATTTTCTATAAAGCGTGAATCTGACACGCAAGTGGGAAGGATTTTATTGAACATTCTTGTCTGTCTAATGGGACAATGCATCCTTTTCAGTCTAATTTGGCCCTGACAGGCAAATTCAAAGAAGCCCATTTTTGTAATAATCTAGATTGTCTGATTGGGAACCTTAAATGTTTGTTTACATTTTTTCAAAACATTCCTTTTAAGACAACCAAACAAAGAGGCGAGTAGAAGGTTGTGGCGATTCATTCCTGTGTTAGTTGTAATAAATGTTAAACTCTTGAAGAAGAAAAGAAACCCTCAGAATTTCATGTTGTTATAATGGGAATAAATACCGGTACGTAATCTTATAGATCAAGGCTTCAGTAGATATTCCATTGTGTTTTCCATTTTTATTTCAGTTGACTGGCATTATTCAAGACATGGTGAACGATCAACCCCACCTTCCGGAAGTTTTGCAGGTGATAGCACTAGTACTATTACTATATCACATGTAAAGAGAGCTTTAAAATCTGTAACTTTAAAAAAAAGAAGAAGATCGGTGAGTGAAATCAAAATGCAATGCGCAAATGATATAAGAAATGTATTTTCCAAGAATGTTTTTTTGACTGCAGTAAGATTATTATGTTTAGCCCCCCAAAAATAAACGGTAAAACTGTAGGTGCCTTGTCATCACTACATTTGTCTATTGACATTTCTTTGTGTCATCTTTTGTGGGATGATTTGCTGTGCACCATGCTCGTTCTTTCAGGTTTACTAGCCACAGGTGTTGTCTTTACTTGGGAGCAAGACTGCTAGTCTGTGTATTGTTGACTTTTCTTTGCAACTTACTTGTAAGCTTAGTAAAGCTTTTAAATAATGATTATGTCATCCAAAAATGTGGTACTGTCTACTGATGTACTTTGATGTATATTTGATCACAGAGTTTCCATAAGTGGATGGTCTCTGAAGGATTGCTGGAGCCTGGTGTGAAGAGAGCTTTTGTCACTTGCGGAGACTGGGACTTGAAGACAATGTGAGCAATTCATGTGGTTAGCATTGTCTTATAACATTTCTAAAAGAGGGTGCCAGATCACTTGACGGTTTGCCACAGTGTTTCTGTTCTACTTGACGATCAACCACCAGACCAACCTGACAACTGTTCCACTTCACGGTCTATCAGTAGGACAAACAACAATCCTAACCCTAACCCAAGCCTAAATCTTAATCCAAACCAATTAACCCAGCACATATAAACTGTGGTCAATCAGGTTGGCTGTTCAGTGGATGGGCACTGAATTCTGACTATGTAAATCTTGTCACCACTGAGAGTGTTTTTAAACAAGCTTGATTATGTTGAAACCAGGTGATTGTTTGATTTTTTGTAGGTTGAGATTAATGAACTGACCACTAGCAAAAGAAAAAGGACTGAAAGAAAATTTGAGCTTAACTCATTTTGTAACGTATATATATATATATAGATAGATAGATAGATAGATAGATCTATATAACTTCTGCAAACTTGGCAACTCTGATATGAGGTTAAGTTTTACATTATTTGGAAAAGATTGTGTGGAAACACTCTTGCATTGTGTCTTGATATAGAGAAAGTTTATGGAATAGAAATTATGAAATATGACACTGGTGCAAAACTTGTAAATCTGATATCTTGTATATCATATGCTTATTCACTCGCACACTGTTTTCCATTTAATAAAAGTAGAAATATTGGACTGACAAGGTTTGCAGCTGTTACTGCCAATATATAATGTTATAAATGTTTTACAATTTGTTGGCCTGCTGTTTAGGTGCACTGAACTTAACATTGTAAGAACAAAATATTTATTGTAGTTTCTTAATTTGTGGTTGCATTTGCTTGGGATATATTTTGTCAATATTCAAATTGTAAATATTGAAAAGAAAAAAATAAGGAGAAAGAATACATAATATAAGTTTTCTAAAGAATGAAACAAGCGTTTTTCTTTCCTGAAAAATATTGCTTTCACTGCTTAGAAAATTTTAACAGATTGCTGAGGACTTGCATCTACACAACATAGATCATTTTGGAGTGGAGACTGCTTCCCCCCTACCTGTCAGGGTCAAACCAGGCTGATTTGGATACCACATCCCAGTAGACAGCAATGCTCGATAAAAAAAAAAAAAAGCTTCCCCACTCAAACTCTTGTCTTCTGCATGGAACAGCAAAGAGAGCCTGACCAGTATACCATGGATGCTGGTCAAGACCCATTTCTGTCAGAAAGTTTGCTACCACTCGCAAAGAACACAAATTACATGTTTTGGAACCCCTTAGTTATGACTGTTCCATTTTCCACTAGGTGAATGTGTGTGTGCGTGTGTCTGTGTGTATATCATATGTGTGCTTGTGTGTATTTGGATTTTGGTTGTTAAAAATTATTCTAATGTCTTTATTCAGGTTGCCGAAACAGTGTGCTGCATTAGACTTGGCTCCCCGACCGTACCTCAGATCATGGATCAATATCAAAAAGGTGAGTCTTGTTTTGTGCCCAGTGGGTAGTATAAAAAATCTCAATGAGAAGGGGTTTTTTTCAAGTTACTAGTATAAATGTGTACGCAGTGGAATCAAGCGCTCTTCAATTTTTAGGCATGTGGAGTTATTGGTATCATCTTAAAGCTTGTTCATTTGTCTTGCTTTCGATGAAAAAATATCTAACTTTCTTGGATACAAGTTGAGATACTGGCTATTGATGGAGGTGGGGGTCACCTGCTTTAAGAGGTAAAATTTGCAAGAAAATGACTGTCAAAGTTTAGTTATTTCCTTGGCTTGAAAAAGCTTACATTTTTTGTGCCTTGAATCAATGTTTTTCAATAAAATTCATACAGAAATATGTTCTCTAACTCACCCAACCCTAACTCCGATAATATCGGTATGCGCGCACTATGCTCCAACCCTAACGCCAACAGTATTGGTATGGAAAATTTCGCTCCCGTGACCGAAAACACTACTTTTGTGTGAATCAGACTGTAGCCTAATTGGAAGAGTAACCATTTTTCGTTTGAAACAGACTATGACCAGAAGTGCAAGCCCAAATTTAGAACAAAGAAAGCTTTGTAAACCATGTGAGGGGATGCGAAATTTGAAAGCACTTCCTTTCTTCGTTTTTTGTTTACTTTTTTACTCTGTATAGACCTTTTTCCATCGCATAAAAACTATGACATATTTTGCCTTCAAATTTTCAATACACACAAATAAAGGTTTGAATAAAATGTAGAATTTATACCAAATTTGGGTAAGATGTGCTAAAGTTTAGTATTTTTCTTCAATTTTTCAAAAAGTGGTAAAAATCTGCAGGGAGAGCTGACAACCCGGAACTGTAGGCCTTGGGTTGAGTGAGTTAATGGACATAGAAAGTTTAACCACTAGGCTTCTGACGCATTGAGTTTACACTGAGCAGTCGATATATATGATCGTATTGTATTACTATATTACTTCCAGTCATATGCTGATATGACGGGCACATTTCCCAAAGGCATGATGTTCATGTTGGACCGCCTGAATCTGAAGCATGAAGGCAGACACCACAGTGGCATTGGTAAGACTCTAAGAACCAGTGTTTTCTGGAAAAAAATTGTAGTTGTAAGTGTGTTAGCCCCTATCAGTGGTGTATAATGATTTGAGATACCAGTAATAATAAATTGAAAAAAAAAGCTCTTGAAAAAGCTTGATGTATTTGTGCAAATTTATGGAGATTGTTTATTTGATTCTGCTTTACGACAAAGTTAAAAATCAGGTTCTGGAATATTTCGGAGTGGGCCCATTTGTACCCAACACAATTGGCTTTCTCAAGTACTTTGTCCTGGGTCTTCATCTAAGGTCGATGGCCTAGTGGCTAGGCTCTTTGACTCAGCCATTAGATTATGGGTTCGCATCCTGTCAGGGGCCCAACATTGTGTCCTTGGGAAAGGCACTTTACGTGAACTTTCCTCACTTCAGCCCAAGTGGAAACGGGTACCCGACCATAGACAGAAGGGAAAGATCTTGTCAGTTTGTGAGTGTTTAAGTTTAAGAACATGAAATCCGCAGGTTGCACTGTATGCTTCCTGGGAAGCCAAGAATATTTTTGAGTGTTCTACGGTCTGTTGGGGTAATAATACTTGTAAAGCGCATAGAGGATGCTGTAGAGTGAATTATATAGTGCTGTATAAATATGCAATAATTACCTGTAGGGGTTTACTATTATTATGATTATTTTAACTGGGTTTTTTGTTGTTGTTTGTTTGGTGGGGGGGGGTGTTGGGGGGGGGGGTGGGATTGCTTCTGGTAAAGTGTATTTGAAGCTAATTGTTCATGTATTTAAATTGCTATTAAAGATGTATTCATGTCAGTAAGATACCTTCTAAATGCTAAGAGTTGCCACAAGACACGCCAGAGTAATGATACTGGCCATTATTATTTATTGTATGACTGTGAAAGTTTATTTTTTCAACTGGAATGTTCTTCTTTACAGATGACTGCAGGAACATTGCAAACATTGCTGTGGAAATGGTAAAGAAGGGCTACATCTTCAAGGAAAACGGTCACCTTCCACAGTTTTAGCAGTGCTTATCTCGTTGATAAAAAGTGCTGTTGTGTGATTTTATGAGAAAAGTTGGTTTTTGTATATTTTTGCAAGCATTTAGATATTATTTGTATTTTGTATAGAGGTAATGTTGCCTCTGAAGATTTATGACAGTATGCATTCACAATTATTGTGCATTATAATCACACAACACTAGCAGACATACAGCTGAATGCAGTGAGGTATGAGAGTGTGCATGGGTTTGCGTGTATGCGTGCGTGCGTATGTTTATGAAAATGATGTGGAGGAGTGTTATTATAGGGAGGCAGAGAAGGGATGGGATGCATACAGCTTGTGCACCAGAAGAATGACTTGCATCATCCCAGCAACGAAAAATAAATAATATAATGTTGTTTGATTTTGACGGTTTGGCCACCACATGAAGATTATCCATTTTTTTAACACTGATGAGTTACAATTTTCGCTTTTATTTGAATTTTTAATAGTAATAGTGAGTCTCTTCTTTGTTCCAGTTTATAATATATATAAGCACGAATTAAGAGAAAAAAATGAGAATTGAGAATTGTGTTGTTAATCCTGAGTTCTCATTCTCCATTTGTGGATTCATTTCTAGATCCTACTCTATTACTTTGCCCTGTTTGCCTTTTCGAGTCGTGTATAAAGAGTGATCAAGCAGAAATGGGTCTTTAGTGAATGGAATAATTGTGTTGGGTTGTTTTTTTCATTAAGGAAAAATTGTTTGTTTATTGGATATATTATAAAACATCAAAGTCAACTTATTTTCATTGTCTTCTTCTTGTGAGCGTGTGTATGAGTGTGTGTATGTCAGAGAGAGAGATAGTACAGAAAAACAGAGTGAAGTAGATGGCTGTAAATATTGCACTCATCCACCAACACAATTTAGATAATTTATTATGAGGTGGTCTGCTTTAACTTTAATTTTGTGTGAGAAGGCAGATCAGGACAGACTGGGATAGTGCATCCTAACTGAAAGATAGAGATACTCTATGATATGTCTTCTGTACTTTGGAATCAAGCTCTGGTGTGGTTTGCTCTTTCTTTCCTATCAAACATCTGTCTTCCTTATTTCTCCTCCTTTTTTGTGTGTGTTTGTTACTCTCTTGTAACACCTCTATTCTTCGGCACTTATATGACCGTACTGTGTTGCAAGTGCCGTAAAACTCTTACTTACTAAAACAAAACAAAAACAGATGCTAGTATGAAGAGGGAGAGGGAGACAGAGAGAGGGGGGGGGGGAGGTCAGTTTACAATATATATGTCTCTCACTGCCCAATGGGTAGGGGAAGGAATTAATTAGTCTCCACTAGCACTGTTTAGATCATCTAGAAAAGAAAACAAACTACATGTCCTTCAACCCTGCTTGTCAGGGCCAACCTGAGCTGAGGGGAATACAGCATCCCAGCAGACAGATGAAGATACAGGTACTCGGGAGGACCACTACTTCCTTGCATGGGAATTGGAATTGAACTCATGTCTTGTTCAGACAATGCAGAAGGGTCTGACTGTTTCACTACAAACACTGATGAGATAACATTGACGAAAACCATTTTGCCAACTGACACAAAATAATAATAATAATAATAAAATAGATAATAATCATAATAATAACCATGATAATAATCATAATACTGTATATCATTGATTGCATTTGTATAGGGATAATAATCATGATAATATTTATAATAACAATATAGTAATAATTGATAGCATTTGTATAGGGCAAATCCCTGCTCTACAGCAAACTCTATGAGGTGAGGCTTGGCAACAATGTACCCTGGAATCCTGTTATAACGAGAGGGAGGGGGCCGGAGCAAATAAATGTCCATTATAGCAGGATTTTCGCTATAAGGGATCCAGTAATAAATTCAAGAGAAACTGTAAAGTAGACCTAATCTATGAGTTTAGTGTTCTATTTATTTCCTTTTGCTTTCTCCCCTGATGATGATTTTGTTTCAACATGACCTCTATGTCTTACTCGATCAAAAATCGAATCAGGTTTCTTTCTCTAGCACTAGATCTAGCGTTGTGGACTGACAGCTCACGTTGGCGATCAGAAAGAAAGAGCTCTGGGCTAACTCGCCCGCTGTGTTTTCCCCCCACCCCACCACACCCTGTGGTGCTTTCTGTCTGCTTGCGCACGTCACACATTCGCTCCATCCACCCCGTTGCTGTGACCTCCCCATCCCCACATCGGAGAAGTGAGAGGCATGGTAGGCCTTGATAATCTAAACTTGGCATATGCTGGCCTATCATGCGATGTGTTCTGTTTGTCTGCGCATGCCACACCTCCCTACTCAGTCGCTCCGGCCTTCATTGTTGACACACATAGGCTCTCATATTCCTTGTTTCGCAAGATCACCAACAAGTTTCTCAACTGACGAGGTTTTGCATTATAATGTATAATTGGCCTATGCACTGTGCACAGCAGCAGCAATATTCCGCTATAACCGACTTGCACGTTTGTCTGATAGCGCTATAGCAGTATTTTATTTACAAAGGTAAAGAGGAGAAAAAAACGGGGTTTTTTAATAGTGTCTTTATTGCAGACTTCTCGTTTTTTCCGAACTCGTTGTAAGTGGACTCCATTGTATCAGATTTTGTTTCAGAGACAGCTTCAATGTAATGTTGGGAAAATGTTAAGCAATACAATGTAGCATGCTGGATTACATTATGGACAGTCCTGGTTTGAATCCCCAATAGTATCTTCATGATCTTGGGTGATCAGGGAACTTTTCAATTTCAAGGTTCTCTGCTTTCGTGGCCTGGTCCTGTCGGGGGTGGATGTGGGGTGTGCAGGTCTCACCTCTTCACAATGAAGTTCAATATCCTGAAAGTGTTGAAAGGAATGCAGAATCCATCCATCAAACACACACACACACACACACACACACACACACACACACACACACATACACACACACACTCACACTACTGTAGCTGAACATCACAAGTTAAGAGAAACTTTGGGACAAGCTATCTTTAAAAATAAGTGAACCGGTAATACAATTTCTGGCTTGCTCTCTTTTCTTCTTCTTTTCGTAACCCTGCAAGAGTTCAAGGGGTTACTGACTGCAAAATCTTCATCTCATCTCACAGTACAATTGATTGACTTCGCCCGTAGATATCTGTAGTATTATGTAGACTCATCTCTTGTCTGAGGGGCAGCCACGTGCCGTTAATGCAGGCATTCTCTCTCTCCCTCTCTCTCCCTCTCTCTCCCTCTCTCTCTCTCTCTCTCTCTCTCTCTCTCTCTCTCTCTCTCTCTCTCTCCCCTCTCTCTCTCCCCTCTCTGTCTCTCCCCCCTCTCTGTCTCTCCCCCCCTCTCCCTCTATCTCTTTCTCTCGCTCGGTGTGTGTGTGTGTGAGAGAGAGAGAGAGAGAGAGAGAGAGAGAGAGAGAGAGAGAGAGAAAGGAGGAGGAAAGAGGGGGGGGGGAGATACTGGGAGAAACAGATGAATGTTTATGTGATAGAGACAGTGTGTGAGACCAAGTTTCTTTGTCCATATGTAAAAGGTCGCCGCCGTGATCCACAAGAAATACTTGTGCTTATAACATCATGGCCGTCTCGACAGTCGCTCACAACAAAATGTTTTATTTTTCTCTTAATATAATATTTGAAAACTGGCACATGGGGCAATGAATACATGTACAGTATTTTGGATTTTTGAACAAAATTACGTTCAATAAAAAGAAACAAAGCTTAGCTCCTTATATAATAAGTGTTTGGGTCACTTTGTGTCGGATGCAAATCATCTTTCTGTAGTATAAAAACACATTGATGAATGTTTAATGTCAACTTTTGAAGGGGGCTCTCGTGGCCTAGAGGTAAAGGGATTGGCCTCTCATTCAAAGGTCCCGGGTTCGAATCCGGGTAGCGACCGAAAAATTTTCTTCTCTAAAATTGTCTCCTTTCACCTCCTTTCCTGCTCTCTAGCAATGTTCTGTTGTCTGCTTTCATTTCCACTTTCTGCCCCCACCCCTTCACCTCGTTTGCCCCCTCCTCTGGGCTCCTGACTCTTTCTGCAGCCTTTCTACTGCTACTCATTGGCTCCTCCTTACTGCTGTCTTTCTGCCACATCCCTGATCTTCTGGTAGGAAAGATCTACACCTAGCCTTCTCGGACAAGGGCGAAAAATCTCGGAGGGCCTGTGTGCAAGTTGCGCACGTTAAAGATCCCTTGGTGGTCTAAAATTGATAAGAGTAGGCTTCGGCCGCCACCCGGGCAAAATTCAAAATTTCCTACCAACTGAAAATATTAGGTGTGTCCCGCGCGCTCATATGACCTATGCAGTTGCGAGCGCCGTAAAACACTTTACAAAAACAAAAAACAACTTTTGAATAAATTGGTGGTGCTTCAAATATGTTCATACATGAAGTATTCTTATCCAGGGTTCTTCAAGGCCGATCTGAGCGGAGAGGGAGACACCATCCCAGCATAGATGCAGATATTTCACATAGACGTTCGATGAAATAACTTCTCAACTCGAGAATCGAACTTCCACGTTTTGTTTTTCCTTTAGTAAGTACTTTAGTGAGTGTTATTTACGGCACTTGCAACACAATAAAGCCAAGTAAGTGGCACTTGCAACACAATAAATCCTTTAAATGCCGAAGATTAGAGGTGTTACAAGAGAGTAACAAACGCAAAAAAGAAGGAGGAGAGATATAAGGATGATAGATGTTTGATAGGAAAGAAGGAGCAGACCACACCAGAGCACCCGCAGTCAAGAATAATTCCATTAGGGCGAAACAAACCAGTCCGGTGATAGACCGTTGAAACAGCGGGGTGAATATTATAATAAAGAAGCTGAAATGCCGACGTTCAAATCCATAAACAGGCAAGAAGGTAAACAAAGGCAAAGTGAACACAGTGTCGAGAACAGGTGAATGGAGAAGAGTTGGTTAGGAGACGTGAAGTCAGTCAAACAGGTACAGGGGGGCTAAACGAGACGTGTGTGGGAAATGCACAAGTGTTTGTTTGAGTAAATAGACATCGACACCATCACCGCCAATGACTAGGGTTTTTTTTTTTTTTTTGAGAACCCGTATTCGTCCCACAATTTTCATTTTTGAATTTCGTATTCTTAGGGCCTACTCGTTTTCGTCCCACATAGATTCGTTACTTTACTTAAATTATAGAATTATAGTAAATAGACATCGACACCATCACCGCCAATTACTAGTTTTTTTGTTGGGAGACCCGTATTCGTCCCACAATTTTCTTTTTTTGAATTTCGTCTTAGGGCCTTCCCGTTTTCGTCCTACATTGATTCGATACTTTACTTAAATTATAGAATTATAGGCTACTGCAGTTATTGCCTAAATCCGATTTTAATATAAAACGGTATATATAGTTAAATACCAGGTCCCTGGTAGTACGTTGGGTGGAGAAAATTCATTGTTTAAAAACCACACCGACAAGGAGGTGGAAGAAGGATTTTGAGCAGGATAAAATTTTGAACTAACAGTTTGCAAAATAAAATATTTCGATAAAAATCGATTTTAATAATACACTTGTTGGAAATCATAATAAATCCAGGGTAAAACTTTGCACATTGTATTGCAGTTACAGTCCATGTGAGTCAGTCTGCCACTGACTTGTAAGATGACAGGCTGAAATTACCAGAAAAAAAGTGAAGATAAAGAATAGAATGTCTCAGAATATCCCCACACTTGTACATCAGAGAGAGAGAGAGAGAGAGAGAGAGAGAGAGAGAGAGAGAGAGAGAGAGAGAGAGAGAGAGAGAGAGAGAGAGAGAGAGAGTCAGTCGTCCGACCTAACACCACGTGGGGATTATCCCTAAAGCCGGGTACACCATTGACCCAACAGTCGCTTCAGCAGGAACGAAAACGGACCTCTACTTTTTTTTAAATTCGTACTTTGGGCAGTTTTGATTTCGGCTTTGATCTTACGGGTGTTGTCGGGTGTAGTTTGACCATCGCTTGAGATGTCGAACAGAAGGAATATGACATCTTTTTTCTTTCTTTCTGCCACC